ATATACAAATAATGAATGTTCATGAGTGCAATGGTAAGAATATTTTCATGAGGTGAAAGATGGAATGTTCCATTCAACGAGGCGACAGCCGAGTTGAATGGAACATTCCATCTTTCACCGAATGAAAATATTCTTACCATTGCACGAATAAAAACATTCATTATTTGTTTTTTATAATATAGCATTTGTAAATTCTGAACGCTGATTGGCTAAGAGCCGTGTTGATATAACTCCATGTCAACACGGGAAATTTTCCGCCGCTTGTAAACACGGAAATTTTTCTTATTCTTCGGGATTTTGACATTGCTATATTATAAAACAAATATAAAACATTTTTTCCGTATTGATATATAGTTAATCAACACTCGTGGAAGTTGGGAAAACTCGAAATTGTATGAAAACACTCCGCCCTTCGGGCGTCGTGTTTCCACACAATTTCTCGTTTTCCCAATTTCCACTCGTGTTGATATAACTGTATATCAACACGGAAAATGTTTTATATTTGTTAAATATAATACCAAAATAGACTAATAGATTCGTATGAGAAGCATTTTGACGGATGCGATTTATCGAAAACACAAATAGTGCAATGCAATAAAACGTATAGTACAATTGGCAATTGAACTCGCAAAGAGTGCAATGGAACGTATTCCATTGCACTCTTGGGAAATGGAATTTTCTATTCAATATCACGTGACCATAAACAGCCAATTAAATTATCAGAATTCAATAAGGTATTATATAATATAATATATACTATATGAACCATGACATAACCATGCGAGTCTGCATACATAATGAGCATTTTTAAGTGAATACAAATATTTGCTGGAAAACCAAAGCGGGATCACAAAAATCTTGGCATTAAATAGAATATATCTCACTCCTAGTCATATTTTAAGTTTCTTTGATGGCTATCATGATATGCACTACTAAGAGTCTAAGAGTCTAAAGCCTGGTTCACACGATGAAATAAGCATAAGCACAAGCAGCGGAATCTTTGATGTGCCTAAGCATAAACATAAGAAGAACAAATGTTGCGTTCTTCTTATGCTTACGTTTATGCACATCAAAGGTTCCGCTGCTTGTGCTTATTTCACCGTGTGAACCAGGCTTAAGAGTTGCGTTTATGAAATTTACCATATAACAAAGTAAACAAACCTGCTGCTTCATTATTTTCTGTATATACATAATTTGGGTCGGGGACACTATATTGTCTAAAAATCCGTATGCTTCTGGCTCGTTTTCTAACTTCATCAATATCCGGCATGTAAGATTCCACAGCGATTGTGAAACTAGGTGGTCCGCGCATGCCGCGTTCAACATTTACAACAACCCCTATATAACAAGAGAAAATGACGCGAGTGAAACAATACAAGCAAATATATCTAAATTCAAAAGATTTATTTTAATTTGTTTATATATATATATACTACTTATAATTAACTAACTATTTTCCTCCGTGGTCTGCAGAAGTTACTGAGATTTTTTTCAACAACTGCTCTTATTTGTGACAGCCTGAAGTAAGCAGCGAGCGCGAGCGACTTGTGGCAAGTCAAGTCTATCCTCTGCGCTTTGAGAAACTAAACAAGCGTGTTAAATTTAGTCAACTTATTAAGGCTTACAATTAATCGTTATATACTATTGCGATTGTGTTCACAATGTCTTTCTGCTCGTTTGCGTTTGCTGATATATTTGCTGAATATTAATGATACGCGAGTATATTATTTGCTACGAATACAGTCAAGAATTGCTTGTATTTTGCTTCTAAAGTCAAAAATGAAAAATCGAACACCGTGAACAGATGCGGTATGTTGCTTAGAATAATTATGTCCAGTTTCAATTTTTCCAATCGGACAAGTAATGATAGAGCCTTAGCCCTTAGGGTTTTTTCAAAGAGCGTCGGCCCCCTAAGAAGAAGAACAAGAAGATTAGCAGCGATTGGGGACAATTAGTTTCTGGTCCAAAAAGTCTGCCTTGTGACATATATAGTTTGCGGCTAATTAGGATCACTTGGCCAATAGACCTTTTTAAAAAGTCTGTCTTGTGACGTAGTTTGCGGATAAAGGAAAACCCCGCACAGCCATTTGGCTTGCCTGATTGGCCAAATGATCGTATTTACCCGCAAACTATCACGCAATCCGAATGGTGTGCGGGGTTTTCCTTTACCTCAAACTAAGTCACAATGCAGACTTTTTAAAAAGGTCAGTTCGCATGGATTGTTTTTGCTCAGTAATAACTTTTGCATGGGAAGAGTTAAGCATTTTCTTTCAGTCTTTCCATCACTCTCTGCAGTTTCATTGGCTGTGCCTGTGGAAATGTTATATAAGTTCTAAAGTTCTTTACAAATGTTTAAGGTGGCTCTGTAGGAGAGGCTTAGGAACTAATGCTTGTGTTGGTTGTGCAAATCTGTTGGAATACTATACACGCAAAAATCTCACTTCTTGTAGCAAGTCTGCCAACAAGCTGTGTTTGCCCTGATTGTGTCCCAAGTTGTCAACAAATAGAGAACAACCTTGTTGATATTATTATACTTGTTGCAAGGTTGTTCCAACAGGTCCAATACATTCTTTGTAGGTTTGCATGGTAAACCTACAAAGTTTGAGTTTTGTTAAAGGATGGAAAAATTTCTAGTGAGGTGCAAGTGGCACCACTGAGCGAGCTTCGGTAGAGAGTGTTAGGGTTAAAGACTTTCACACAAAATAGGAAAGGTGAAGCAAAATTTTGGTGGGGTTGAACACTTTAATAAGAGGGGTTAGAAAGATTCTAGGGGAGGGGGAGGGTTAACCACCCTAACCCCCAGCAAATCTGCCCACATGTGGAACAATAGGATTTAATTACAACTAAACTTTGGGTCATTCCAAAAAACACTGTCCACATGCACCTGACCCGGTCCCAAGCAGGTAATTGGAAGCAGTGGCGTAGCCAGATTCCATGATTGGGGAGGGGGGCTTATTCATATAGACCGTAAAAACAATCAATTTCAAAAGAAATTAATTGTGCAGAACACGAATATGAATATTCCCTCACTTATCGAGCTGGCTAAACCACTGATTGTGCAATTATCAGAACTTTCAGAAGTGAAATCTTTTTTCCACAGAAAGATCATGCAATCTAGATTTCAACTGAATTGACAAGTTAATTTAAAGGCACAGTTCAGCCTTTTGAATCATGGTTTTTATGGTGCATTTTAGCCCTTTTTATTGAAAAAAAAACTAACTAGGAAAATCAATTATGCATAATTCAAGATCTTTAAAATGTTAAAAACATTAAGTTTGCTGATTTTGAATTATGCTTAATTGATTTTCCTGGTTAGTTTTTTTTTCAATTCAAATTAAGGCCTGAAATGTGCCCTAATTAACATTCAAAAGGCTGAACTGTGCCTATTAAATAATATTATCTGGTGTTAAATGGAGTAAAATAATCTGGCATATAGACAGAGTGAAATAATCTGCCATTAGACAAAGTAAAATAACAAAGTAAAGCACATTGCAACTTAATTATGACATACCTCTGTGCATGGTCTCGTAGCAGCTACGGCTATGTAATTTTACCAAAACACAATCATTCTTATTCAGTTTTCTTGTCTCATCTTGATTAAGTTCCTTATCTAGTACAACTTTATAGCTCTCTCTTGCTGATATATTGTATGTTAATTCCTCTTCATCATCATCAAATTTTACTTTCAATCTACGACCTTTGATGTTTATTACTTTGCCTTTAAAATAATTTTTATATTAATTAGCAGGCCTCCAAGTGCAGATCGGTATCTAAGATATTAAGTGTCAATGATATGCAATATCTCAGCACTAATTACCCTTAAAATAGTTATTCTCATCCCATTCAGCCCACACAGCAGTGCCAATACTTAGTATTTCATCATGTTCTAAACAAAACAGGGTAATGGGTTAGTATTGACCAGCTATTAATTAATATCACTGCCAGGGGCGAAACTAGTCCCTGGCAGGGGTGGGGGGG